AACAGGAAGAAGACATTTGTGTTCAATAATGGTTGCACAAACTGGATTCATTATTAAAATTTTTTAAGTAATTAGACATTTGCTGTTATTAATATAGAATAATGGTAACACAAATTCATTGTCCTAGTATGAATTGTGAATTGAGCTCTTGGGCAGTACATTCCCATTCATCATCCCTTATCCCATTCATCTAGAACTCCTTTTTTTATCTGTGTATTACAAACATTTCGGTCAGCTGTCCATGAAGTTGTTAATTTGCGTAAGGTAACTTAGGTGAATTATTAACCTGAGTGAAATATATTTATACATACTTCTATTTACAATAATAGGTCATAAAAAGAAAATAAAAAAGACAAAAATCAACTTCATAAATTGGTTACTCGGATGTCCTTTGTTCTCATCAAATAACTGCATGCACAGTTTTTGTCAGAAATACTACAGTGACAGCATAGGACGGAGCACAGTATTATGTTTCAAAGATTACTTTTTCCTTAAAGAAGGTGGTTTGGACATTCAAGGGTACCAAAGATGTTGGGAAGTAGGTTCAAACCTGAATAGATGTTTCGCACTACACCTGAAAAGATGTTGGGCACTACACCCGACAAGCGAGATATTAAAAGGTAGCAACACTTGTTCTTTTTGGAGCTGAATGAATAAATCATTTATGGTGTCCATTTTAATTTGTTTTCAGGAAATTAAAAAAAAAAAGAATTTTAATTCATAAATTTATAATAAATAATAATAAAAGAGTAAATAAAAAAAATTTATGGTTTAGCCTTTTTTTTTTTACAATTTTTAATGTTGAAAACAAAAAAAAATTGCTTAAAGACAAACTAAAGAAAACTATTTTTTTAATCAAAAATATTAATAATTAAAACAGAATAACATGAATAGATATCATTTTTAGTTGTGTGTAGAAGAGCCTGGAGTTTAACTCTGTGGAAGGCAAGGGCCCATCCTGGGCTGTCAGGCCAATGAAGAAGAAGAAAGAGAACAATTTGTTTAATCAAAATTAGTAAAAAAAAAGAATAATATTAATAGGTAACATTTTTAGTTATATGAAATTTAAAAAATTATTAAACTATTTTAAAATTTGCAAAATTTTTTATACACTCAAATTTTAAGTTTTTAAAGATATCTAGCTTACAACTTATTAACATTTGTATGTATAGACAGTACATGAAAATAATAAATACATTTTTACGAAAGTTACGGAAAATTTGTAAAAGCTCTAAAATTCTTAAAGTATATCAAATTTAAATTTGATTTGGAAAATATAGGTATTTTAAATTATTTGCATATAGAAAGAAATACTATTAGTAATTAAAATTCGAAACATTGTGAGTGTGAAAACAAAGGAAATAGTTTTTCAAAACTATTATATATTTATAAAAAACTTCAAACAAAATGATTAATTTAAACTAAATTCCTTAAAAACATGATAACTATGAAGCCACAATAGGTTGCCACTAGGGCATTTTACTAAAAAAAATTCATTATTAAATTTATTTTTATTAAATTGTTTTTATTTTTGTAAACTAAACAAAAATAATAACAGTCATAACTGCAAAGTTAAAATGCAACATAAATAGTGTAGGGAATTTTTTTTTTTTTGACTTGAAAATACTTTATGATTTTGATTTTAAAAAAATTAAAAGTATTTTTTCAAATACAGAACAGAATAAATTTGAAATAAAAAATTTAAATAAATAAAAAAAATACGTGTTTAATAGCTGTATGCTTCAAAAGACAGTGCGAAATAAATGTCACCTCACAAAATTCGATCCTGGCTGGAGATCAAATCACATGACCTCTAGGTAAGTAGGCTCTATTTAAGTTCCTTTTACTGTCTGAAAAAAATGAAACTTTATTAGGTATGTTTAGAAAAGGAACTCTATTTGTAATATACTCATCTGAATATTCAGCTCAAAAATTATTTACATATTTTTCAAATAAAGAAATAAAGCAGTGTGTTAGATTGCCATGTTCAGAACAGGAAAATTCCGCGAAAACTCAGACTACTCCTATTACTAGCGCCACGACCGGAGTGTTATCACATTTTGAAACTATTTTATTTCTTGTATAATAAATCTTTGAATATTAATAATAGTAGTAATATGTTTAAGGTTCCAGAATCACATTCCGCAATGTAAAAAATGTACCAGAATGTCGTACTTCACATTACAGCTACACAATAACCCATAGAAAACTAAACATTACTATCTAGACAAGTGATGTATAGTTTCAAATTCACTACTTAGACTGAATCGATTGTCCTTATAAATACAAGTATATAGGACTTAGAGATCCAAGTTGTAAGAGATTCAATTTTGTGAATTAAACCTATTTACGAATCAGTAACTCTTGTATATACAAGTGTGATATTACTTCCTAAGTAATTTTTACTCAAAATCAAATGAATTTAAAAGGAAATCGATAGATTAACTTGCTAAGTTAGAAAGACTTATAAAGATTTTTTGCTTATAAAGTACTTTTGCTTAAAAATCAACTTTTGTGTTTGTACATGGTGTTTGTACATTGTGTTTATACATTGGCATTGGAGGGGTATTGATTGAAGGTAGGGTTTAATTGCACAAAATCCAAAAGAGGATATGCTGCGCCAAACAAATGGCTTTGAAAACAAGTCTAACATTCAAGGTTATCCAACTAAAATACATAAAATCGGTACAAAAAAGGCAATGTGTGAAATGTAATGTTTCAGGAAAAATTAAATAAAATCAAAATTAAGTTGACATATTTAATAGTTTTGAAGTTATAAGGGTTTTATGCGTAAAAAGATATAGGTCGAAAACTATAATTCTAATGCAGAAACCATTATATCTTCTTACCAACTAGTTCTATTTATTTGGTTTCAATGCAAAACAATACACTGGATTCAATATTTTGCTACTTTATATGCGATGGTCATTTTTTAAGTCAGAACCGTTTTGTATAGGAGTAAGTGAGATTATATATATATGTAAATTGTATTACAAATTAAAATATGAACATTTATTCTCTCTTTAACATAGTCACCTTTAACATTGACACATTTGTACAGTCGTGGCACCATGTTTAAGATAACATCATCAAAGAGCTCTGGCATATAATCACAAAACCAGTTAGTTATACAGTTTCTTTCAACATGCAATTATTTTCCATGTGCTTCCTACCAAGAAATTCCATAAGTTTTGAAAACAAAAAGTGGTGCTAAGAACAATGCAGCCAACATCGGCAGAGACTTGAAATGAAAGGGTGGCTTAATGAGAGATTTGAACGAATTTTAGATTCCTGTATTGAGCCCGAACTAAAATTTTAAAACAATTTCCAAAATTCTCCTAAGTATTGTCGTTTTGACCTTTTTTATGGCACAAAAACGGGTCTATAATTTTATTCTTTAAAATTTTGCCAATTTGCTGATATGTTTTAAACATAGATGAAAATCATCAATATCAATGAATAACTGTAAAGGTTTTTTTTCTTTTAAATCAAGCTATGCATTTTAGAAATAACTTTTCAAACATTCCCCTGTTATATAAAATATTTACAAACTTAATATTTTTAAAAAGCACAATGCTTTTGAACTGAAAGAATAAAATTTATGCTCGCAGAAGACAATACTTACTGACAGCATATAAAGACTCAGATAACAGTGATAATAAGATAAACTTAGATAATGCTTTGAATTTTCGATATACACAGGTTTATTCTTTTGCTTGTTTGAAAATTTAGTAATCAATGCTCTTTATCACTTTCTATGCAGCATTTTTTTCATTTTATTGTTATTATATCAGGTTATAGGGGCTTTAAATTTTGAATGGTCTTGCAGTAATGCCCGTCTATTTAATGATAATTGTTTTTATAAAAAAATCATTTCTTTTTAATCCAAACAACCTGCAATAATTTGAGACAAAATTACATGTACTTTCAATCTGTTGAATTTGTACCAAAATAAAAATTACGAATTCAGGTTTTTGTTTTGACCGTGTGTTTTTGATAAAAAAATCATTTGGGGGAAAACAATTGCCACACGTCTAAAGATAAATATTATTTTCTGTCACAGCTAAAGAATCAAGTTATATTTCCAAAATAATTCTTTAGCTATATCTTATGTCTATAATAAATTACTTTTTTAAACCCTTTGACTCTGAATATTTATTAATAATATTTTTCTTACTTTTTTTCATCATTTCGATTAAAATAAGTGAAAACAATTATATTTAGCATTTTAAAATTAATTGCATATGAAAGACAGCACAAAACACTTTTGTCTTTTATTGCGTTTAGACTAAAATTTTCCAAACACGACTCACTTCCTATCAATTTTTCAAATTTGTACTTACTTATATTTAAGAGAAACAGCTATTCATCATTGAAATTTCTTTAATTTATAAAAAAAAAACTATTGATAAATACTTTGAATATGATTGTAAACAAATTTTTCAAACTACTTTTTTGGGATTTTATATTTCAGTATAAATATAATTTGACGCAGATTTTTTGAGTAACTATTAGAATGTTTCATACAATTTAAAAATAGACAATATGTTTTTTTCTAATAATTAGAGTGGTAGAAAAAGCATTATATGTAAGGAACACCGGTGTTCCATATCCATCAAAGTGTTGATACGAAATTATAGCTTTTGTTTCAATATGAGTATGAAAAGTGACTATCTATACAAAACCAGAAGATTCAGCGACAAGGGACACAATAAGATACTTAGTGGTTATGATACAAAAATGGAAGTAAGTATTGTGATCAAAAATTGTTTTAATTGTCAGGACATTAAAACAGCAATTCCGGAAAATAGTTAAGTATTTCTCTGAACACAAAGACAGAGACACAAAAGACAAAACAAGAAGAAGAAAAAATACTTTGTCTTAAAGTATTAAAACTCCCTGTAACATTCAATGTCACAACATTCAATGAGATTTCATAATTAAGTAAATTCAAAATTTATCATTAAATATTTATTACACAGTTCAAACTATTAATAGAATATTAATTTACATTTGAAATAGCAGTTGTTTCTTTTACAAAGAAAATTTTGGGCGTTTCTTTTTTTTTTATCAAGCAAAACGTGCAAAAAATATGAAAATATTTGATGTAAAAATGACATTTTCTGAAACATTATAGCTTTACACCATATTGTCTTAAGCCTTTTTAATTTAAGTATAAAACAAATAGTATCACCAAAAATAATATAACGATATTTAACATTCTCATATCGTTTACTTCACACAGTTACACTTTGATAAAATGTAGTTATCTTAATAATAATGATACACATGTTTGAAGTTTTCTAAAAGTAAGTTCACAAATCAAATAACAATATTGGAAGAAAATGAAACCGAAAACAGACCTACTTAGTCAAAGCTCCAGCACAATAACGCATTAAAAGAGCAGCTAGTTTTGTGTCTTTATCTGTTAATTCAATCCACGACTCTGTATTGGCAATGGATTTAAAATTCTTAGAAATAAAGTTCATTATTTCTTCTTTGAAAGCATCATCACTGTGGCGGTATGCCAGACTGAGCATTGGACAGGCATTGTTCACATCAAGTAAAGATAAGAGATCTTTCATACAAGCTAATCTAAGACCCAAAATCTCATACTTGTCAGCTGCGTAGTAAAGCTCACATGCTTCTTCGTATTGAAGACCACCCTTTTCCCCACAGTACAAGTAGTTGATGAGTTTTTTCATAATAGAAGTCCGGATATCTGTCACAACAATCTTATCGTTTGTGGTTTCTAATGATGAATGTTCAAACATTTTACAAAATACTGGCGATCTTGCACATAATATATTTTTATGCGCTTTGATGGTGGTATCTTCGACTCGAATCGTAACATCAGTATTCATGGTTTGGGTTAGCATCCTTTTAAAATCGATCAAAAGTTGCTTCATTGTTTCAAAATCTGGACTATCGTCAGAATCTGCAATTATCACTGTGGATTCATCAAGTTCCTTTTGCCTCAAGAGTAAGTTGGCCCCTTGTTCCTTCCGGTCTGCTTCTGAATTATTATGGATCTGATTTGAAGAGTTCTGTTGATCGCTTTGGGATTCTGAATTGTTGAGGTTAGGATGTAGGATTGTCACTATCTTTGTATGACTCTCAACTTCTGGTCCAAATACTTCAATAGTACAAATGATGGTAAGGACATCACTGATGGACGGTGTATTTGATAGTGAATTAAACAATTTCACAGATCTCAATTTCGAAAAAGAAAAAAACGTGCCTCTATCTTCATAAACTAATTTCTGGTTATGAGCCACAGTGATTGTAAATTTGAGATCAATATCGTCATTAGATTTGCTGTATAGATCTAATGTTGAAGAACAATACAAAGTACTAAGTTTTAAGAACCAGGGGCAACTATTATCTTTATAAAAAAATTCCGGACTTGAAATAGGAATCTTTTCTCGTAAACTACGAAGATTATAGATTTTCCACTTTAAAGAAAACGCACCATTCTTTGAAATGATGAAGCAGGACTTCACTTCATCATGATTTAATTCCATCTTAAGAAATTTAAATAAGATGAAATGATTCGATTCTCTGTTTCTTTTTATCTTCACAGGAATCATCCACAGCTTAGCGTCGATTCAAAGTAGAATGTCGAAGACTAAGAATTTAATTTACACAGAAGTAAAATTAAAAAAAATTGAAAAGATCAAACATGATCAGCACCACATGATTTATGATCAGCACCTTCTTACCCTTTGGATCAGGCACGAAAATCAAAATTTATTTATTTATTTATTTTATTTTATTGAAATTACATACATTTGCAGACTTGTGTGCTCAATATCATGCTCAATATATAGGAAAAATCAAAATAAAATAATTTTATTCTCATAAAGATACAGTATTGATATATTTGCTTAGTTGTAGAAAGAGCCAACAAATTTGGACTTTAAAGGGGTATTCACACTAGATAATATAGAATGGTACGTATTATAAACGTATCATTGTTGTTGTTGTTGTTCATTTACGTCGTACTAGAGCTGCACAATGGGCTATTGGCGACGGTGTGGGAAACATCCCTGAGGATGATCCGAAGACATGCCATCGCAATTTTGATCCTCTGTAAAGGGGATGGCATCCCCGCTTCGGTAGCTCGACGATCTGCATGCGAAGTCGAGCACTTTACGGTAGAACAGTTTAACGAGGACCCATACCGCACACCCTCGGTCCCTACGCAGGCTGATCCAAGTTATCACCCACCCGCACACTGACCGTAGCCAGTGATGCTTGACTTCGGTGATCTGCTGGGAACCGTGTCTTACCGCGGGACATAAACGTATCATAGCTGATAAATAGTTTTGAGTTCCTGATTGGCGAATTTCACACGTGTAACTATGGTTGACTAATTAGGATCTCATATACATCTCCAAATTCGCATAGGCAAATATTTTGTATTCAGTGGAAACGGCCCCTGAAGAAAACTGTCCCTCCGAGTGCGTCAACCTCTGATCACCTTTCAAAAAGAAAGGAGAACCAAAGATTGGTGAATTTTTTTAGAAAAATATATATTTTTCAATCAAGTTATCATATTTCTTCGACCTTGGCCGGAGGTGCGGTAACAGCATTCGGGGAAAATGCTTCATGAAGGAATAATCTCTGCATATAAAAAATTCGTGGATTTGAGCGAAAATTCGAGTGGAAAATCTTTTAGTGGGTAACTATATTTTACCAAGAAAGTTCTCTGTTGCAACTACGAATTTTTAAATTTTTTTTTTAAATGAAGCAAATATATTTTCATAGATCATTAATTGATTTATTGTTGATTTATTGAAATTACATACATTTGCTGACTTGTGTGCTCAATATATAGGCTTATAAGTCATTGTCAAGTAGAAAATACAGATAAAACAATTCAGAGAAAGACATCACAAAGAATACATCCAAGGTTACGGCGGGATTCGAACCCGCTACCTCCACGCTTAACAGAGCTTTTGGACCGTAGATCATTAATAAGAAGAAAAAAAGAATCTAAGAATCGATTTATACACCCGTTCAATTTAGTGAATCGATACAAAAGAATCGATTCATTTTAATGGATTGATTGGCACATCACTATTGATAACGCTATCAATTCTTTCACGAGGGATAATTTTGATATCATTTTGATTAATTTTGATATCATCAAATTATAATTGGGTATAATATGAAAAAACACAACTACTTCGATTTAGTAGGAACAACATATGACGCAATGCTAAACGAATGGAATTTAGTTGTTGTTTATTTAGTTATTGTTATTAGTAGTTGTTGTTATTTGTTTTAGCTGTTGTTGTTTATTTAGTTGTATTTAGTTTCAATTACTTTTCTTTATAATGCAATAAAATCTGGCGAGCAGCTATTTAAACGATCGAACACTTCGTTTGTTTATTTGTGGCTTGAAGTTAGGCTCGCAGAAAATGCCGTTCATGGGTTAAATTTAGTAGGAACAACACAACGTAGGCTATATTATATCCAATTAAGTATTTTGTTTGAAAATCAGAAAGATAAAATACTTGTATCAGTCGGTTGGAAATTACGATAGATTGAGCAATTGTAAGTCAGGAAATATGTTGCAATTTGGTGCATATGTTAGACATTTAAATTATGACTTGCTAGAATAAAAAGGTTTTAATATTCTCAAAAAAATTTACCGTGGTAGCTGTTCAAATACAAGTTGATATTCAATTAACATGCTGTTCAATCAACATTTAATCAGGAATATGACACAAAAATATGATAAAGATACGATATTTAACTGAACTATTTTTAAATGTTTGCACAATATTCAAGAACAGGATAAAAGCTATAAAATATTCCGTACAGACGCTACTTTAGAAGTAAAATAATGCTCGGTAAATTTGAAAAATAATTTTAAAAAAAATAAATAAAGAGGCCGGGCATGGTGGCTNAAAAAAAAAAAAAAAAAAAAAAAAAAAAAAAAAAAAAAAAAAAAAAAAAAAAAAAAAAAATGAAAATTTCGTTTTTATGAAATTATCTTAAGTAAAAATATTCAAGAGTACATACTAGTTATTAAACTGCATTTTCTGTCTCTTATTTTCCTAAGTGTGAAGTTACACTTTACGAACAAGCGAATAATAATAAGGCAAAAATTTCATTAATACTTACGTTTATCAGGGAAAAACAAAACATTCTCATTTAATATTACCGAAAAATAGTGACACAAATTGGTCCGTTATGGACGTGTATCATGAAAGAAGAAGACATATGTTTTCAATAATTGTTACACAAATTAGATTTATTATTAACGTTTTTCAAGTAATAATGAAATATTTGTTGTCATTAATAGCGAATAATGGCAACACAAATTCATAGTTCTAGTATAAAGTGACCACATTTTCATTGAGACAAAGCGGGACAAATGGGATGAAATGAGAACTACAATTTAGTTATATATATTTTATTGTATACATTCATATACTTGTACAAAAATGTATGTATTATTAATTATTGGTGAATATAAAAATATTTCTAAAAAAATAATAATTTGAACATCATAATTTTTAATCAAATAAAATTTTTTATTTAAAAAAAATTATGATTTTCTTTCACGGTCGTATTTTTGATCTGAGTGAATACTTTTGAATAGATTTGGATCATTTATTAAAATATCGTGAAATATTTCACATGAATTTGTCAAATTATATTTTACACTTAAAATAGATTTTTAAAGTTTTAATGCTCAACTGCGTTTTTTCCGTTGTCCATATTTTATTGATACTAGAAAAAACACGTTCTGTTGCTACATTTGTTCCTGGAAGGGAGAGCGCGAATTCTACAATTTTAAAAATATTTTGATGAGGAATATTATTTTGTTTAAAATGAAGGAATAGCTCCGTCCATTTTTTGTCTGTTTCCACATTTGCAGATAACCAACATTTAGTTTTTTTCATCTGTAACATATCTTTTTACCAATGACACCTCATCAAAAAGATCATTTTCGCAAATATTATTTTTCGAAAATGGTTACTAATATATTCAAAAGATTTTTCCACATATTCCCATAAAATCTCCTTTTTTAATGTCACCCAATGAAAATTTTTGATATCTTCGAATTGAACTGTCCATTCTTCAAGATATTCCAAACAGTTGTTAGAAAAAATTTTGACATGTTTCAGAAAATCAGATCGTTTAATGGCACCTTGCTCTTCCAACCTAATAAAATCTTTTCGAATAATTAAAGGAATGTAATCGATATCAATTCTTTCTTGTAATTTTGTTTTTAAATTATTGATTCCATTTCACACTTCCGTAATTGAAATTGTGCCCCCTTCAGTAATTTTCACAGCATTGTGAAATAATGTAGCTTGGTTGTGGATGAACTGAAGCCAAATCTGTGATGTGCCATTTTCAAAAAAGAGCAGCAATATTCTTGGACATTTATCTTGTGATAAAAAGTATGATTTTAATGGTTCGTATATTTTTAAAATATTTTCTACAGCTGGTAAAAGAGCTAGCCATCGTGTTTTGCCTGTAACCAAGAATTCTTTTATATTTAATTTCTGCACTTTCACAAAAATCCTTCAAACTTTCAACACGCACAGTATATATAAAAAAATACAAATAAATTTTTGAAATAATATTTTAAACATCAACTGGAAGTAAGTCAGATGTTGTTTGAATAGTATTATGTAGAATGTGTGCTGCACAGCCTACTTCAATAATTTTTTGGTTCAAATGTTTGTTAAGTTTCGTGAAAACGTTATTGATGCCTCTTCTAGCTTTTCCACCAAAATTTGCGTTAGTGTTATCCACACGATAGACAATAATTTTATTGTTCAAATTATTCTTTTTCAAAATAGTACTTACTGAATGAAAAATTATTTGTGAAGTTTCACCCGGCAATGAAACAAAATCTAATATTCTATATTTAATTCTTGTTTCTGGATCAAAAAATCTAACAATTGTGGGAAATAATTTTAAATCTTTGTGGTTGGAAGCATCGGAATGCATGGATATAAATGCGCATTTTTTTAATTCTTTCTGAAATTGTGAAAACGAATATGGCGAAAAAATATTACAAATAATTGCTTCGGTTTTTGTCCTTGCACATGCATATTTTTTGTCGTATAATGTTTTGATCACTTGCGACGTAGAATCCATTGATCTGAAACTTTGATTTTCAGATCAAGGTTTATGGTGTGGAAAGCAAATAGCCCTTCCGCTAATGCTAGCTGTTTTTCCGTGTTGCCAAAGCTAACACTGCGAAAAAACTTCCATTTTAGACGAGGAAGCGGCATTATTCAAAAATCTTTTGTGCCTCTTTGTAATATCGTTTTTTCCGCCATGTGAGACCAAAAAATCAGCATTGCATTTATCACACAGTACCATATAGTCTATTTTGGTTTTTTTAATAAATGGAAATTCTCTGCTTAACTCTTCATTAAATTTGCATTCTCTTTTTTTACTCATCTTTTATTCTGTGGGTAAATACTAGAAATAAATAAAAAAATTTACTACAAAGACTAAAAAAGAGTATTAAATTTTACCTTATTGACCGTTACGTTGTGGCGATTATTGCTCTACCACTACCTTCGTCAATCAAATAATGATTCAAACCCAACGTCAAATTGAAAACAACAACCCGCACTGTCTAACGTCAGTCCGCACTGTCAGCACTTATCTGAATTAAGCCGAGACGTAACGACAATGATCG